GGGCTAGGAGAGTACGAGTACATTACGGAAATCAAGGCTTATTTATATACCCTAACATGAGCTTCTCCTCCCTAACCCCCTTCCCCTTATCCCATTGGCTGGGCTTTCAGGGGGCACAGTCTATTCACGGAGACACAAGTTTGCCCAGAGACAAGAAAAGGTGGGAAGTTTTTCAAGGGCAAGCAGTTCAGGTTGCGGTTAGGGCTGTTCTTTCTGCTAAAAAACAGGGTCTGAGCGGAGGAGGGTTTTGAAAACAATAATACAAGAACCATTCACAAGAACTAATGACCCTTTGAGGAGACTTCACTTCTGAGAGATCATCTCTCACATGTTCATATAAAGGAAGGGCAGTCCTGAGAGAATCTCCACAGACACTATTGGAATTTGAATAAGCATAATAATCTACTCTATTTTGTATTTCGAACAACGTCAATATTGACCTTAGTGTCTAGTCAGCAAATGTTTATCTTAAATTGTGGAAGTACTAGAAGAAAACCATAGACATGCAAAATGGCGATCATGGCAACAAAATCATTAAAAGGCATGCAGAAAATAAAGCCCGGGTTCTTTGGCTGAATGGTGTTTTCTAGTGAAAAATTAAAGCTTCTGAGTACACCCCTGGAGTACTCACATTAGTTTCAGTGATCAAATCTAAACAAATGACTCTAGATCTGTGTCTATAGGTTTGATGTATTCCTTTCTCATATTCCCAGTGGGACATCTCTACTTGAATTTTATTTTATTTTAAAAATTCATTTATTTTGAGTTTTCAAAATTCACTTCCATAAGATTTTGAGTTCCAAATTTTCTCTTCATCTCTCTCCTCCACCTATCCCAAGATGGCGTGCAATCTGATATGGGCTCTGCATATACATTCATATTGAACCAATTTTCACATTAGTCATGTTATAAAGAAGAATCCAAACCAATGGGAGAAACCACAAGAAAGAAGAAACAAAAAGAAAAAAAGCGCAAATAATATGTTTTGATCTGCATTCAGACTCCACATTTCTTTCTGTGGATGTGGACAGCACTTTACATCTTGAGGCCCTTGGAGTTGTCTTGGATCTCTGCATTGCTAAGAAGAGATGAGTCTCAATGTTAGTCATCGCACACTGTGGCTGTTACAGTGTATAACTGTTCTCCTAGTTCTGCTCACTTCACTCAGCATCAGTTCGTATAAGTCTTCCCAGGTTTTTCTGAAGTCTGCCTGCTCTCTACTTGAATTAAAAAAAAATTAGACTTATTTCAACAAAAAAGTCAATCAAATAAAAAAACAGGTAAACTTCCACTATAAACCTTAGCCTTTAACAAGGCAGGACAGACCGTATTTTTAAAATGCTGTAAATCAGCGGTATCAAACTGAAAAAAAGAAAACTTGCCAGATACATGTTGACTTAAAAAAAACTTCACAAATTAACCTGGAAAGCTTTACATGAGCTGATGCAAAGTGAAGTGAGTGGAATCAGGAGAACATTGTACACAATAACAGCAATATTGTGTGATGAACAACTATGAAAGACTTAGCTACTCAGATCCATACAGTGATGCACAGCAGTTCCAAAGGACTCATTATGAAAAATGCTCTCTACCTCCAGAGAGAGAATTAATGAAGTCTGAGTGCAAATTGAAGCATATTTTTAAAATGTTTTCTTTTTCCCCCTTTTCTTTCTTTCTTTTCTTTTTTTTTTGGCAGCATGGGTAATATGGAAAATATGTTGTACATGACTTCACATGTACAATGGATATCATATTGCTAGCCTTCTCAGTGGGTGGGAGAGGGGCTGAAGGGAGAGAAAATTTAGAACTCAGAATTTTAAAATGAATGTTAAAAAAAAAAAGAAAACCACACATTAACATGATGTCCTATTTTGTTTTTATAAATTTTTTTAAACATTTCCTAATTACGTTTTATTCCAGTTGAGGTCCCACTCCAGAGTTTTCTAACTTGTGGGCCACAAGTTTGCTATCTTGATTCTAAATCACAAATCCTTGAAGAGAAACGTAAATTCTTTTTTCAACTTAATAGTATTTTATTTTTTTCAATTACATGTAAAGATAGTTTTCAACATTCATTTTTATAAGATTTTCAGTTCCAAAATTTTTTCCCTCCCTCCCTTTCCCCCTTCCCAAGACAGCAAGCAATTTGATATAGGTTACGCGTGTTAATCATGTATAATCATGTTAAACATATTTCCACATTAGTCATGTTGTAAAAGAAGAATCAGAACAAAAGGGAAACACCACGAGAAAGAAAAAATAAACAACAAAAAAACGTGAAAAATAGTATGTTTTGCTCTGCATTCAGACTCCATAGTTCTTTCTCTGGATGTAGATAGCATTTTCCATTATGAATCTTTTGGAATTGTCTTGGATCATTGTATTGCAGAGAATAGCTAAGTCATTCACAGTTGATCATTGTCCAGTATTGCTTTTACTGCCTACAATGTTCTTCTGGTTCTGCTCACTTCATTTTGCATCAGTTCATGTAAGTCTTTTCAGGTTTTTCTAAAATCATCCTGCTCGTTATTTCTTATAGCAGAATAATATTCCATCACAATCATATACCACAGCTTGTTCAGCCATTCCACACTTGATGGGCATCCCCTCAATTTCCAATTCTTTGCCACCAGAAAAAAATGCTATAAATATTTTTGTGCAAATGGGCCCTTTCCCCTCACCCCCCTTTTTTGATCTCTTTGGTGTACAGATCTAGTAGTGATATTGCTGGATCAAAGGGTATACAGAGTTTTATAGCCCTTTGGGTTTAGTTCCAAACTGCTTTCCAGAATGATTGGATCAGTTCACAACTCTACCAACAGTGTATTAGTATCTCAATTTTCTCACATCCCCTCCAATATTTGTCATTTTCCTTTTCTGTCACATTAGTGAATCTGATAGGTGTGAGGTAGCTGTTTTTACTTGCCTTTCTCTAATCAATAGTAATTTAGAGCACTTTTTTTCATATGGCTTTAGATTAGCTTTTATTTCTTCAGAAAATTACCTTTTCATATCTTTTGACCATTTGTCAATTGGGATGACTTGTATTCTTATAAATTTGACTCAGTTCTCTATGTATTTGAGAAATGAGGCCTTTATCAGAGATACTTGCTGTAAAAAAATTTTCCCCCAATTTTCTACTTTCTTTCTAATCGTGGTTATATTGGTTTTGTTTGTGCAAAAACTTTTAAATTTAGTATAATCAAAATTATCCATTTTACATCTTATAATACTGTGTATCTCTTGTTTGGTGCTAAATTCTTCCCTTCTCCATACATCTGACAGGTAAACTATTCCTTGGTCTCCTAATTTGTTTGTCTCGCCCTTTATGTCTATATCAAGTACTCATTTTGCCATTATCTTGGTATACCGTTTAAATTTTGGTCTATACTTAGTTTCTGCCAAATTGTTTTCCAGTTTTCCCAGCAGTTTTTATCAATAGTGAGTTCTTGTCCCAAAAGCTTAGATCTTTGGGTTCATCAAACACTACATTACTGCAGTCATTTGCTACTGTGCATTCTGTACCTATTCTATTCTACTTATCCACCACTCTGTTTCTTAGCTAGTACCAGGTTGTTTTGGTTATTACTACTTTATAGTACAGTTTGGAGATCTGGTATGGCTAGGCTACCTTCCTTCAAGTTTTTTTTTTCATTAGTTCCTTTGATATTCTTGTGTGTTTAAATTTTTAAGTTTTGTATTTTATACTAGGGGTCTAAATCCAGCTAACATATTTAGTTGCTAATAATTCAGTTAAAGTATGGATGTGTCTAAAGAACTGTCGTTCACACATTTCCTTATTTATAATTAATCACTTTTCTAATTCTATGGCTATTAGAACCCTTAAGTGCATAGTATTTCATTTTTAATTCTTATTGGTATCTTTTTTTTTTTTTGGTGAGGCAGTGGGGGTTAAGTGACTTGCCCAGAGTCACAAAGATAGTGAGTGTTATGTGTCTGAGATTGGATTTGAACTCAGGTCTTCCTGACTCCAGGGCCAGTGCTCTATGCACTGTGCCACCTAGCAGCCCCTGATATCTTTTGTTTTAAGGTTAGCTTCGTTCCCCAGTATAGCCTCTCCCCACTAGAAAGCTATCCTTTATAACAAAGAATAACAGCAAAACTAACCAGTACATCAGCCATATTCAATGTTAAATGGAGAATTCCACAGCCATAGTCTCCTGCCTATTCTAAAGGAGGGAGGTTCATTCTTATATTTCATCTTTGGAACCAAGTTTGATCATTATAATTTTACAGCACTCTGGATACATTGTTTCAGTTGGAGTACGTTCTTTAATCTTATATGCATGTACACATGATTTGGAAGAGGTAATCAATGTATCAAAGACTAGAACTCCAGGGATAGGAAGCTGGGTTGGCAGTCCAAACCTGAGACTTCTTTAATGAATGATAGGTGACCCCAAGCCTGAATATTCCTATGCAGAGTTCTTTGCAGTTGTATTAGGAACTCTCTGTAACCCAGTTTAGAATTTTCAATGTCTAATTGTCTCTGTACTAGTTATACATGCATAGGAATGAAAAGGCAATCAGGAAGAGGAGTGAGATATTAGGTTAGGGTTGGGTATAATGCGTTAGCAGTATTACAAAATGATGATTGAGGTAATGTTAAATAAGATATATCTGTTAACATTGCAGACTCAAGTCTTTATAGCATACCTCAGAGATCCTGGACTACTGTTATTAATAGTGGTCTACTGGAGGAAAATTATATAGAGGGGAAAAAAAATCTTCAATTTCTTTTCTCAAAATGAGTGTAAAAGTCTATGGGATCAAACATCTGAGAATCAATACTATGAGTCAGTTTGGTATTCCTAAGTATCCTGTTGGTAAAATGAATAGTTTTGCATTTATTCTTTGCAAATTAAATTGGTTATTAAATATGTAAGATTGATTTTTTTTTTGAGTGGCCAAGTGAAGTTTTCTTAGCATCTTTTGAGGAGAATCTCACAGTGGAAACATTTCTTTTTTCTTTTAAATAGTCATCTCAGCAAAGCTTAAAGAAAATAAAAAGAACTGGTTTGGACCAAGTCCTTATGTGGAAGTCTCAGTAGATGGACAGTCAAAGAAGACAGAAAAATGCAGCAATACCAACAGTCCCAAGTGGAAGCAGCCTCTTACTGTGTAGGTTTGCAAATTTTTTTTGCGTGTAATTGTTTAGCAGGTAATATAAAGTATACTCCTAAATGCTGTAAGCATAAATGTAGCCTTTTTTCTTACTTCCTCTTTCTCTTTTCCCCTCCTTCTCTTCCTTTCCTTCCTCTTCTTTTCTTATATTTCTTTATCCCTTTTTTCATTCTTCTGTCATGGCTCCTCTTTCTTTTTCCATCTTCGGCCTTTTTTCTCCTTATCTCTCATCTTGTACTCTTCTTTTTCTCTATTTTTCCGCAGTCTTTCCCTTTTTTCTCTTTCCATGTTTTAGTTGGAAGTGGTGGCAACAACAATTAGTCATTGTCACCATTGGGCAACATCTCTGGGATTGGAAGAACCTGAGTATATTAAAAGTATACATGACCTCATAGGACAGATTCTTACCTTCTCTCGATCTTGCTTAGAGTAGAGAGAGAGCCTGGTAGGAAGCTGGCTTCCTCATCTTTGTGCTGCTCTTAGCAAGTGCACATCTGGGGAGCTCTCACTGGACTTCATTTACATTAATGATAAGATACCATATCTTAACTGAACAGATTATGGCTTATTTATAGCTTCTGTGAAAATGTCTAACCTATTGCTACTTTCTTTAGAGTTTATTAATTTGGGGAAAAAACCTGAAATCTTTAGTTATTTTTGCCACAGTCTCTCAACTTAAATGGTACTCTAGAAGTTTAATTGCAACTAGATAAAGTTAATAAATTTTTTTTTATACATTGACCTGTCAGTATAGCACTCCAGTGTAGAGTTTCTCGTATACATGGTCTATCTCAGACCTTGGGCAAAGAGTTTGAAAAATACCAAGCCATCATGTTGCAAGGAGGTTGTACATTAATGAACAGCCCTACCTTGTAGTCTTTGTGGGATCATAGGACTAGATCAACATTTTGCACAAACTGCACAAACTTTACACAAAGGCACATGACTTGGTCAAGATTATACTATAATTGAGAAGCTGAGCCATGACTTGCTCCACATCTTTTGACTCCAAGTCCATTGTTCTTTCCATGATGCCATACTCCTTCTTAAGCACTGAATTGAGATTTAAGTAGAATTTTTTACTTTTTTGTAATGGGAACTATACATAACAAAGAAAGAAAGCACAGCCTGTGGTGGCTGGATCTAAGTAGTTGCAGGTGTGAGGGAGAACGTAATTCATCCTTTTGATGAAACATAGCTGTTCTGTAGTTTAGGTAAATATTTCAAGGGCTTAGCTCATAAGTTCATGTATTTTTTAGGCACAGTAAAGAAGTGGCTGAATTCTTTACATTCTTTCCATGTGTGGAAATTATACTAAATTGCTCCCCTTATAAATGATTTGGAGTAATTCAGAGATGATCCTTTATGGTAAAACATATTTTCTAAATGGAGGTAGGATACATTAGATAAGAAAAAGTATATTTGTCTGATTATTGTTTTCTTTAGTGTGATTCTCCAGATGATCATGAGAATTTTACTTTCTACATGTAAGAAATGCTTGTGGAGACAAGTTAAGAAAGTGAAGAGAGGTAGAATGGCTCAGTAGATAGAGAAATCTCCATGTAGTCAGAATGACTTGGGTTCAAACTTCTTCCTCCAACACCTACTGGATATGTGACCCTCAGCAAGTCTCCCAGTGCCCTAAGCAACTCTAAAGACTATGCCTTGTTGAATAATTGCTAATCTACATGTGTGAGAGAGTAGTCTCATCAGTAGCACCCTACATATGTGAAAGCTTAGGGCTAGATGAAAAAAAAAGTGAGGGATGTGAAGTAAAAAATAATTTTTTGCACATGTTTTATCTTTGAATTTGAAGAAGATGCAGTAGAAACAGCCACAGTTAGCCTTTGAAAGTTTTGTGAAAGAAGTGGGAAGAAAGTGCAGTTTGAACAGACTTTTCAGAACTTTCTTTTGCTTTTTTCTTTACTCTCTTGTACATGATTGTGCTCTCTCCCAGTGTTTTTCAAGAGTTGGAATAGTGAACAGTATGAGGGAGGGGGATTACTGTGGTTTCTTGGTCACTTTCAATGTCACTTATGGTTCCTGGTGCATATTCCACATATAGTGAGCATTATTCACTGACAGCAGCCTTGAACACGGTGCTTTCTTCAAAGGCATAGTGAAATTGTGAACGTGTTGTAGCAGTTTCTTTCAGGGAAAAAAATGTATTTTTGTTGGTGATTGATCTGCCAGTGAAATTAGCCATAAAGGCATGTAGAGTGTTTTAGATATAATCTAAGTTCTCATAATGCAAGCTGTATTATTAGAGTTGTGTTTTACCATAGATATAAACTATAATTTACTTCTTCCAGGTCATAATGTGGTGTTTAGTGAAGATTGCATTTTTCCTTCAATGTTTTTCTCCTTTTAGAATTGTCACACCTGTCAGCAAATTAAATTTTCGTGTATGGAGTCACCAGACATTAAAATCCGATGTTTTACTGGGAAGTGCTGCTCTAGATATTCATGAAACGTTAAAGTCAAATAATATGAAACGTATGTATGTAAATGAAAATGTGTTTAACTTATGTGTACTTTGTCATAGCCTGTGTGGAGTTGTACCAGACATACAAAACAACTTGTAATTGTAGCAAGCATGTTAGTGTTTGCTTGGATGTAGTTTTAACAAAAGAAAAATCTTCATAAATTTAACACATCTTAAGGAAACTTTAAAGCTCTAGATCCAAAACAAATATGCAAATGATTACTCAAAAGTAATAATAATCATAAGAAGGTCTCTTGTATTCCCTGACTGAAACATTTCTAGAATCTTCTTCTCCTTTGGATCTGGTAAGATACTGTGAAACAAGCTTAAGTCTTATGTAAATCTGTAGTTTCATTTTCTCTTTTAATTAAATTAATCTGATTTATCTTGGTAAAAGATCTTGAGTTTCATGCTTGCTCACATTATTTTGTATCACTGACAAGTATGGAGAAAATTTAAAAATAGATTAAATGGTGACTTTTAAAATAGGCTGTAAAAATAAAAGCATTTGAAAACAAATTTTCATACTTTAGCTATTCCTTCCTGGCCCAAGGAGTTTATAGCTTTTAGTCATTTATGCTTATTTTGCATTCAGTTTTTTAAGGTATAGATGCCAGTGTAGCTGAGTAGTCAGGCTTTTATTCCGTATATAGTACATGTTTTGATGTTCATTGAGGGCTAGAACCACTTATCTAAGTAAATTAATATAGTTTATATGTACCAATTGATGGATGTAATCTTATACTTTTTTTCTGACAGACTTTCAGTAAGATGTTTGAAAGATAAAAAAGACTTCTCTTTTCTATAGTTGATGAAGTAATTGTGACATTACAACTCGTGGGTGACAAGGAGCCAACAGAAATCATAGGAGACTTGTCAGTTTGCCTTGATGGACTACAAGTAGATCCCGAGATTCTAACGAATGGCTATGCCACATGTTCAGAAGGTAACTAATATGTAATAATGTAGTCACTATTGGTCACTCTTCTCCCAGCAAAGGGTAAATAATACCTTTCAACTCCTGTCGTTTTGTCATGACAACATAAATATTTAATTTTTTTTTGTAACAGGTTGAAATTACTTTTCATATTCTCCCTTTTTTTCTTGTGGATAGCTTCTTCGTATTATGAACTGATTGAGTTTAGGCAGTTTGGCTCAGCATTGTTTCTTTTGATTCTAGTTTTATTTGTAGCTTATTGTCTCTCTTACTTTCATTATCCTTACTGCTTTTCCAGTCTGCAGATATGTTTATAGTTTGAGGCATTTAGTTTTATAAGTACCATGTAATGGCATTTAAGATTTTACTTACTTTTTAGCATTACGTTAACAGAAAAACCTCTGTAATTTGACTCTAAAATTGCCCTATTTCTTAAACAAGTAGGACTTTTGAATCAGTTTCTGTACAGACCTCATTAATTTGTATTTTAGAATATTACTTCTTAAGGGTTCTTTAGGCTAATGCCTAATTAATTAAGAATTTATTTATTCGTACCACCTTGGATTAGGTAGTGGATTCTCCCATTGTTGGAGTTGTTGGACTAGGACTGGGTGATCTGTAAGGTCCCAATAAGATTCAGTAATCCCCGTAAGAATATATGATTCTCTGGTTTTCTTAGCCTTTAGTGCACTTCTATGTTTGTCTTTTTTGTTACCAGTTATAGAAGTATAATTATTAAAAGCCTTTAGTGTGTTATTACTTGATGTAAAATGGTCTGCTCTTAGCTAATGCAGATTATAATGATGTAAATGTCATGATTATTTCTAAGTGGCTGTTTCAGTGTCATGTTAACTTCTTGCATTAAGTGCCTACATAGTAGCTGTCTCAGTAATGTATGTTACCTGTGAATTCTCTTAAGGTTTTTCCCTTTACTTCCTTATTATTAAATATTTTCCCTAAAATAGAAATTTTAAAGATCCTAAGCCCCATATAATGGAACTTATTAATGATCTCTATGACCAAAATTACTTTGCATACCCAGGAGTAACAATCATTAACAGTTTTATAGTTGTCAGTATTGTTATGTCATGACTTTATGTCATCCATTTCAGTTGCACTGAAGCTTGTTTTGTTTTTGGTTCTCAGCTGTTTAAGTTTAAATGACCTCCAGATATATGAGGTATTACCATATTCAAAATTCATGAGCAGCTACTACATGCTCACACTTTGATATGCACTGTTGGGATATAAAAGGATAATGGACTATGTTTAAATTAAAACCAGAAGAAACATGTTTTATTAGAAGGTACATAGAAGATTTTAATTCTGTAGCCCACATAAATACAGTGTATCTCTTAAATGCAATAGAAAAAAACATTTTTGTTACATATAAATTATAATAAAACTAGTTCTATTCTATGTGATTGATAAATTAAGTAAATTAACCCTCAATTTAAATTAAATTATTAAATCTGATTTAACCTTAAAATCTTGATCAAATATTAAAATGTTTTTTTTTATCAGGAAGATTAAGTGTATATTTAAATTACACAGTCTTAAGTGTAGAAAGTTTTTGAAAGCAAGACTCTAATCTCATTGGGTTTTGTTTGTTTGTTTTTGCTGATGATAAAGGTAGTTCACAGAGTGATGATTCCAGAACCAGGAATGATACAAGGTAAGATATATCACCTGAGCATATGAGTAGTTACTATTGGATTGCAGAACTAAATGAAGGAAGTTAATATTAAAGCATTACAGAAAACTTTTAAGTCAGGCCTACACTGGACAAATGAATTGAGTGGTAAAGAATAAAAAGGGGGGAATTTCACATAAATGCAGATACACTCTGAAAGACTTATGACTTAGCTTTCTGTGGTTGTAAGGTATTAGAGGATGCTCAGATTTCTGTTAAAAAATTAATTAGTTGTTGATACCAAGTACAGAAGAGTAAATAAAGCAATCACTGTGTCCTAAGATGACTAAGAAAGAGAAATGGAAGTACTTTCTGTGACATTTGAAAAGTGCCATTTGTTGTGAATTAAAACTTAAAACTATGAGAATACGAGTGTAGTCAGATCAAAGAGAGTTATCAATTCTTGGCATTGGCTTACTGGGTTACATATATTTGTACCGGTTAATTGCTGTTGGAAGAGGTGTAACTGCATCAAATGGACCTTATGCTGTAAGATTTAGATGCTAATAGTATCAAAGTTTTTGCTTCATTTAGTAAGTTTTCAGTGGCTGTTAGGTATACTAGGTTCCATGGGGGTAGCAAAATAAGGAAAAGTCATGATTTTTGCCTTTAGTGTTGAGGAGGTTGTCATTTAGAAGGGGAAAAATAAAATCGAACTGACAAGAAAGCAGTGTCAAAGGTGATTTTCAGATTCCACTGCTTCTCTTTATTTTTCCACATCTTGGCAAGCTCTAAGTTAATGTCTTCTGTTTCCTGTGAGTTTTGTAAAGCAAACTGGGATTTGGAGGGTACACATTTAACAGATAAAGAGGCAACTCATTAAGGTCCCTAGCTCCAGTTGCCTCGAGGGCTTCTTGCAGTAGTTGAATAGTATTGATGTTGTATCTAGGGAGCGCCTTCATATTAATTTGAGACATTTGTTGAGATCTTTTTAGAGATTTCACAACACTATGGCAACCTTTAGTGATGTTGAGATTTTGTGCATGGGTTAATTAGATGTTGTCAGTAGTCTCATGTGTATAGTCCTATCTAGACCCTGATGGCCAACAGATTTTTAATTTTTATTTTATTTTGGTATTTTATTTTATTGTAGTATGAAATAGCAACTTCAGACTATACTCAGTGTGGAAAGGTTAAAAAGGATTAGGCAATATATTTTACAGTTTTCTCATGGGAAATACAGAATTTTGATATGTTTTATTCTATTAAATCTTCTCCTTATACAGAGTTCAGTCATTGTTGTGTAGTACTGCTGGTCTAGGAGAACGTGGCTGGACAATACCGATTTGGAATAGTCATCAGGAATTCTTGTTTAAATGGATTTGATGTTTTTGGAGGAGTAAAGAAATAGTATCATCAAAAAAAAATTAAAATATTTTTTATTCTAAACTTAAGCACCCAAAAAAAAGAGCATTTCCATAAATGCAGCGAGATATTAAAAAATGTTTTATATGAAGTTATAGATTTCTGTTTTATACTGCTTTTTAAAAAAGTGTATAATAAATTCTCTTTTACTTCCAAACTTTCTGTCTTTTCTTTGTTTCCTTCTGTTTTTTTCTGTGCATTTTAAAAATATTTCATTGGAGGGACAGCTAGTGGCACAGTGGATAGAGCGCCAGCCCTGGAGTCAGAAGGACCTGAGTTCAAATTTGGGCTCAGACCAAACACTTGGCACTTATTAGCTGTGTGACCCTATTGCCCCATTTGCCAAATAAATAAATACCCCAATTGCCAAACAACAAACAAACAAACAAACAAATAAATAAATAAATAAATGAATAAATAAATGGTTTTATTGGCCCCTTTTTTAGCATCACTATTGCCAACTGTCTTTCCTTCCTAAGATGGTACTAAGAGAATAAAAGGGTGGGGGGAAACTGTAATAAATAAGCATAGTGAAATAAAACCCACAGTGGACATGTCGAAAAATATGTCTTCTTTTGCATGTCTGTCAGCAAGAAGATAACATGCTTCATCATAGGTCCTCTGGAAATAGGGTTGATAATTACATTGATCAGAGAATTCTTAAATCTTTCAGTCCCCATTATTTCCCCACTCCCCTACCCCCGTTGTCCTTGTATAAATTGTTCTCCAGGTTCTACTTATTTCACTCTGTATTAGTTTATACTACCGAGTATTCTCTGAAGTTCTCTTTTGTCATTTCTTATGTTACAATATTTGATTATCATGTACCACATAGTTTTTTCAACTTTTTTCCTAACTGATGGTTTTACCCCCCCTTAGATTCTAGTTCTTTTCTCTTTTCCCTTTTAATACTCCTTTCAGCATCAAGATATTTGTTTTGCTTATACCTTATTCCTTTCTAAGTAATATCCTTCCTCTTAATCCTCAGTTTCTTACTCCTGGCTGTCTTCCAGTTAAGTTTGATGTATTTTTACACCAAATGTTGTGTGTATATCTATGTATATTTTCAACTCTTCATGTGTGTTTTAGAGTGAGGTTCATCTAATGCCTATTCCCCTCCATGTTTATAAACAGGATTCTTCCACTCATTCAGATTATAGGAATAGCAAGTCCCACCTCTTTCTTCCTCCTTTCTGCACTAAAGTATTCCTCCTTTTACCTTCTCTTTCCTCTCTTAAAATCCGCAGAAAGGAACCAATGAACCTTTCAGGAGAGCTAAGCTTTTCTCAATATCCTTTGGAAACATTATGGTTCTTAAGGAACGTTTGTTCTCCCCTTATTACAGTGTTAGCACTGCATCATTATACAGCCCCTTCCAATTACTCAAATATATTTGCCTTTCTAGATTTCTCTTGTCTGAATTGCTTGAAACTTCTCTATTTCTTTTTTCTACTGTTTTCCCTGTAGGATACAATATGAATATTGAATATACAATATGTACTGAGCTTTTCAGGGTAAGTTATTCTTGATTGTAAGCTTCTATCTTTTTGCCTTTTGAAATACATATTTCAATATCTTCTTTGGTTTTTACTAGAAATTTTCAGGTCTTGTGTGATTCTGACTGTAGGTCCGTGGTACTTAAACTGGTTATTTTTGGATGCTTATAGCATTTTTTTCTTTGGTGTGGGGGCTCTGGATTTTGGTTATGGGAACTTTCTTTTGGGAATTCTTTCAGGAAGTGATTAGTGGCTTTTTTTAAAAATTAAAAATATTTTTGATTATCAATAATTTTTTCTTTCTCGAATATTCCCCTGGCAAATGGAAAGGAAAAGAAAAAAGAAAACCCTTGCAATACATACAGTTAAGTAAAACATCTTCCCGTATTGGCCACGTCCAAAAATATGTGTCTTATTTTGCGTATTTAATCCATCACCTCCCTCTCAGGAGGTTGGGTAGCATGCCTTATCGCTGGTTCTGTGGAACCATTGTTGATCATTGCTTTTATCAGAATTCTTTTTTTTTTTTGACTAGGTAATGGGGCTAAGTGACTTGCCCAGGGTCACACAGCTAGTAAGTGTTGTGTGTCTGAGGTCAGATTTGAACTCAGGTCCTCTTGAATCCAGGCTAGTGCTCTATCTATTGTGCTACCTAGCTGCCCCCTCCACTGCACCACCTAGCTGCCCCCTCAGAATTCTTAAGTCTTTGAAAATTGTTCCTTTTCTGAAATGTTGTTGTTAATATTATAAATTATTTTCCAGTTCTACTGATTTCACTCTGTGTTTGTTTATACCAATTTTCCCATGTTTCTCTGAAATGGTCTCTTTTTTCATTACATACAGCCATCAGTATTATATTACATTCAGAAACCATAATTTGTTCATCCATTTCCCACTTCATGGTACCCCCTTAAGCTTATAGTTCTTTTCCACTATGCAAAAGAAATGTTATAAATATTTTTGTACATATATGTTCTCTTCCTCTTGCTTTGATCTCTTTGAGGTGTAGGTCTACTAGTTATATCACTATGTCAGAGGGTATGCATAGTTTAGTAGCTTTATGGGCACAGCTCTAACTTGTTTTCCAGAATGGCTGAATTCACAGCTGCAACAGTGTATTATTGTGTCTTTTTTCCTGTAGTCTCTCCAGCATTTATCACTTTCCATTTTTGTCTTAAGGTAGAACCTCAACATTGCTTTAATTTGCATTTCTCTGTTGTTGCTGATTTGAAGCATTTTTTTCAGTATGGCTTGGATTTCTTCCTTTGAGAACTTCCCCTATTTATCAATTGGAAATGATCACTATATTCTTTATATCTTCATGTCTTCACTTTGCCTTGTGGTTCTGATAGCTCCAATCAGTTTTCTTTTGTGATTTCTTAAAATTGTGTTCAGGCTTTTTATTTTGAAATCATATTCTTAGATTATTTCTTCTTGAACTGATTTCCACACCAGGTTTTTTTTTTGTTCGCTTTTTATTTTTGATATCAGATACATCCTGCATTTTCTTTTCTTTTTCAGTCTTTTGGTTTTGTTTTAATATTTCTTGCTGTGTGGTGAAGTAATTGATTTTTGTTTTGTCCATCCTGCTGTTCAGAGAATTAATTTCTTGGTTAAGGTTTGTCACCTTCTCTTAGTATTTATTCTCCTTCTAATTCTTCCGCTAGAGGTTTTGTTATCTATTGCTTCATTCCTTTTAGGGTTGGTGTTGTTCTTGTGGCAAATCCATTTTTTTTCTTTTGGACCTCTGCTTGCTGTTCTTATGGAGTTAGTTTCTAACTAACTTTTGTTAGTGGATCTCTAGATCTACAGTAATTTTTTGATATCGTGATTGGTGTTTTCCTTCATTTGCTCCTCTTTCCAGCTTAATTCCCTACCTAGGGGTTTTGGCCAGGGCCAGATTCTGTCCGCTGTTGTACTGTTAAAGCAGTGGTAGGTTGGCCCTCCCTTGTTTTCACTGTGGATTTTTGGTCTGATCTCTACTTCCTGGTCATAGGCTTCCCTGCATCTTCATGCTGTCTCTGGTATCACAGGACAGAGTATTAAGGATCTCAGAAACCCTGGATCCAAAAGGTGTCTTGGTCTGAGTGATGTGGTACCACCTCTACTCAGGGCTTCCAA